AAAAAAAGCCACTGACTTGCTCACTTAAAATGATTTAAGTGGTGTACTTTACCTGTTTTTCTTTAAAAAACAAAGACTTCCAATCCATTTATACTCCATCTAGAATTATCTTCCTGAAATATACATTTGCTTATTAATCTTCATTTTCTCCTTATCTAAGACCTGACTCCTGCCTTGAAATTCTTCACAATTTAACTCCAGAGCCCTCAAGATTATCCTTTTATCGGGATTCCTATCATTCAGGCACATAAAACATCAAATCTGTCAGTCCTTCAGTTTGGAATGCTCCTTTACTGCCCTAGTCTAAGGAACCACACCCTTACTTTAAGACTCAGTTCAAGTGTCATCACTTGTGAAACCTTTAGATTCCCCACCCTCATCAGAATCACTTTCTTCCTTTGCCGTCCTTTCATATTTCTTAAAATTGTTTGTTTTCATTCAACATTTGTTGAGTATCTATTATAAAGCAGGTGCTATATTAGGGCTTAAGACAGAAATATAGACGGGGAGTTTTTAAGAAATCCCACTCTGCTGGGGGCAGAAAGACCTTTAAAACAATCAGTGTCCACAAGTTCAGTATCACCATAGTGATAGAAACAGAAACGGGGTTAGCAGGCGTATACTTCCTGTGTTTATGGAAATGGGCTACTAATTTTATTTTGTTTTAGTGTGAAGACAGGGTCTCTATACTATAGTCCAGGCTGGCCTCTAACTTGTGGCAATCCTCTGGCACAGTCTCCTGAATGATGGGATTACAAGTGTGAGCCACCTTGTGGGGCCTGGATTACTAATTTTAAGTCACTATACATTTTCTCAAATGGAATAACTAAAGCATTAATTTTCCCAAGGGTAGACTTCCTGGCACAAAGGGAAAAAAAGTTCCTTTTCCTTTATAGAAGGCCTAAGCTTTCCCAATGTGTTCAAGATTTGCTGTTTAGCAATGGACTTGCTAGCATTTCCAAACTTCCCATGCTTTCCTCATTCAGGCACTAGTTCATGTAGAACATAGAGAAGGAATCACAGCAGTGTTGATGTGCTCACTGACTTAGAAGGCACAATCAGATCTCTGTCTGATGGAACTGCAGCCTCTTGAGGATCTGGAGTGGCAGGACTAGGTTCCAGGAAGGCTCTAAAAAGGGCCCTTTCTAGGGATGGGGATGTAGCTCAGCTGGGAGAGGTCTTACCAGCATGCAATAGGCTCTGCATTCCATCCCCAGCACTGCATGGCACAGGCCTCTAATCCCAGCACTCAGGAATATAAGGAGGAGGATAAGAAGTGCAAAATCATCCTCAGCTACATTGCCAGTTTGAGACCAGCCGGGTTACACGAGGCCCCATCTCGAAAAACAAAACAGAAACCAAAGATAATACCACAGACATTTCTCGAAATTATCCTTTACTCTTTAGTAATATCTTCAATTCAGGAACAGTGGTTTCCACAGGTGATCAAAAAACGTGGCAAACCCAAATTACAGGAAAAAAAATATTAATTACTTAAAATTGCAACATGCCCCCCCCCCCAAAAAAAAATTACTGTCCAAAACCAGCTCCCGTCCCTGCTTGTTTCTGGATAAATTACTTCCTTTTTTCCTGGCCTCAGGCTCAAAACCTCAGATCACCTTGAGGAATCCTTCATTTCCTTCAGTTCTTTTTTTCTTTTTCATCTTTTTGAGACAGGGTCTCCCTGTAGCTCCAGCTGTCCTGGAACTCACTATGTAGACCACCAGGCTGGCCTCAAACTCACAAAGATCGGCCTGCCTCTGCCTCCCAAGTACTGGGATTAAAGGCGTGTGCCACCACGCCTGGCCTTCCTTCAGTCTTTTTTAAAAAAATATTTATTTATTATTTTTTATGAGTGTATTGTCTGCATGTATGTTGAGGGCACCCATGTCGTGCAATGCCACAGAGGTCAGAAGAGGGCTTCGGATTCCCCTTGAACTGGAGTTAAGGTCGCTTCATAGCCTCCATCTGGCTGCTGGGAATCAAACCCAGGTCCTCTGCAAGAGCAGTCAGTGCTCTTAACCGCTGAGCCATCTCTCCAGCCCTTCCTTCAGTCTTATAGGTAGTTTGACTTCAAGTTCCAGATTCTTCAACATTTTCTTTTTTGCGACTCAGAGTCTCACTATGAACACCAAACTAGAATCAAACTTAGACCCACCTGCCTCTGCCTCTGAAGTGTCAGAAGACTAAAGGCGCGTGCCACCATGCCTCTTGTTTCAGCATCTTTAATTCCATTTACAAGTGGGTTTTGCTCTTTTATTTTATGTGCATATGTGGGGGATGTGAGCATATGCATGGAGGTCAGAGGACAACTTTCAAGAATCTGTTCTCTCCTTCCACCATTTGGGTCTAGGGGCTTGTGTTCAGCTCATGAGCCTGGTGCCAGAAGCCTTTACTCATTAAGCCCCTCAGCAGTTGTACTGTGTAGCTAATTACACTAGTTCCAGGAGACTGGTGGTAGAAATGTGAGAGTTCAATATGGTATGTGTACAGACATAGCTATGAAACAAATCTGCTAGTAAGTACGTGAGTGGATGAGAAGTATTTCAGAGTCTGAGCGAGATGTCTTGGGAGATGCGGAAGCTACTGGGGGAAGAACTGTGGCACTTGAGCTGGGCCTTAAGACTCTTAAATCTCACTTGGATTGGATGGTGCTAGCGGAAAGGACTGGGAAGGAAAGCACTCAGAGAATCATGCATGGAGATGAGGTTGTTGCCTAGAACTAAAAGTCCATGCCGACAATGGTGAGACTAAGGGCTGGGGCCAGGTAAGGCTGTCTTGGCAAGCCCACCTAAACTCTTGGGCTGCCAAGTCACTTCCCTTCCAGTACTTGCACTTTCTTTAGAGCTGACAACTATTTTCACCAGGAACCCCCAGGTGCAAAACAAAGTTGGCAGCTGCCTTTGTGATCATAGGTTGCTCCTTCTGCACTTGTAATTTGTAGGAGAGGCTGCTGCTGTGAAGGCTGGCGTCTTCAGCATTATTAACAAAGGTTGACTCAGGCTGGAGAAAGCACATCTTACTCTGGAGATAGTTCAACACTGTTAACTTTCCACACCCTACCTATGACTGTGATCTTAGACTGAGAATGTTAACTCAATTGTTCCTAAATTTCCTTTCATTTTATGGCTCCCTCAGGCAAAGATCTGTGACTCCTATTAATTCAAGGTTATATGTAGATGATCCAGTTCTACCAAAACTTTTCACCCTTGTCTGGTACTATTCCTGGGCACCAGCCTTCTTTTTGTAAGAGGGATAAATTACAACAGGTTAAATTACATAGGTGTTACAGAGACATAGCTAAGTTAAATTTAAACCACGCAATAGTTTAGACCTTTTTTCAGGCATAAAGAAAAACATAAACTTTACAAAAATATAAGAACTTAGCAGTTATTTAAGGAATCTTTTAAAGATGTGTTATAAATCCCTAGAATCCAAAATTATTGCTTTCAGAATGCACAAATGTGAAATAATAGTTATAAATACCACTGAGGATATGGTAACAATCTTGACAGGGGGTGGGATCACTTAGGTATATATATCTGTGAAAAACAATGTTCAGATTACAGTTCACTGAATATAAATTTTATCCCCAAATAAACCATAACAAATGCATGGTTAATGATAGGTATTTAGAGATAAGTGCAATATCTGCAATTTAAATGGATGGGTACATCTGTGATTATTCAAATTACAGAAAAATGTTAATGATAGGATCTAAGTTCCTTATAAAATTTTCTAGACTCTGTTAAATGTTCGAAATTTTTCATAGTAAAAAGGCATTGATAATACTTTGTATTTACTATTGTAAGCCCTGACAACATACCATACTTGGTTTGGTAAAGATGTTAAGCAGAAGCGCCAGGCTTTTTTGTTGTTTGTTTTGAGATAGAGTCTCTTGTTGTAGCCTATGCCGGCCTAGTACTCAATCTCAAACTTGCCATCCTCCTGCATCGACCTCCTAAGGGCTGGGACTATGGGCATGCACCTCGGAGCCCAGCCATAAGCAGACATTTTTGTTCCTTGATGCTTCCAAGCTACCTTGTATTTACCTCTTACAGAATGGTTGTCTCTCCCACACATGATAAGTTCTTGGTGGCCACAGACCTAATAGAGCTTGCATTCATATGCTTGCTTTTCATAATATTGGGTGAAAAATACATGGTCAATAATTTAGAAATGCTGAGTGTAAGTGGAATATTGGTAAAGGCCAGCATATATTCCCAGCAAATGAGCCACACCATTCCCATCTGATACTAAGAAATCCTAGAATTTGTTTGGTTCAATTCCTGGATTAAGTGAGAACTAAGAGATTCCGGAAACGGGAAATCTAGGACACAGAAATTCAAGAAGCATCCGGGCTGGGCGGCGCATGCCTTTAATCCCAGCACTCTGGAGGCAGAGGCAGGCGGATCTCTGTAAATTCGGGGCCAGCAGGGTCTACAAAGTGAGTTCCAGGCCAGCCAGTGGTACATAGGGAGACCCTGTCTCAAAAACAAAAACTCATGAAGCATTTATCAATTAATTTATCAAGAAATCTAAGACACAAACACACAGAGGTGAAGCCTTGAAGAGAACACAAAACATCTTCACCACCAGCACCCCGCCCCAGACTGGCCCCTCCCCCCTCCACAACTAGCCAGAAAGCTAGGGCGCTGGCCACTCCCAGGATACCAGGAGACAGGAGCGAAACCCTCCGAACCCCCATCTCCCCACGTCAACACCCCACGAACCACATGGTCTCGCTGTGCAAACACCGGGTCCCGATCTTAACCTGAGGCCAAGTCCCTGCTCCCTTTCCTGATCTGTGCCCTGCGCAAGTCTCTTGCCTTTGCTGGGCCTCAGTTTCCTCCTCAGAGAAATGTAACGATTCTCTATGGACTACAGGGAGACTAGGAATAGAAAGGAAGCCTTAAGGAAGAGGCAAGCGACTCTCCAACTCGCCGCGGCTCTTCCGGGTGCGTCGCTGGCGGAGCACCCGGAAGACCAATCACAATCACCTCTGCCCCGCAACTCCCTTCCCGCCGTGCGCGGGTGCGAAGGCCGCTCCCTCCGGCCGGACCCCTGCAGAAGCTTCGCGGCGCTGCCTGCCGTACCTGCAGCTACCTGGTCAGCGGGACTTTCCTGCTGACCCATGACGAAATCTTGCACGAGGCCCCACAAGGCGCCCGTGGGCGCGGCTGCCTCCACCATAACAGCGGCAGCAGCCATGACGCGAGCCAGGGGCTGTGGGAGGGAAAGTAGGCGTTCCCACGGGCTGCGCCTCTCTGCGCACGCGCCTCCACAGCCAATCGTTGGGTGCAGATCCCGGGGGCGGGGGCACCTCGAGTCACGTGTCCGCCCATCTTGGTCAGGCGGGTCCAGGAGGGAACCGGCGGCCCCTCCCCCAGGGGCGGGGCCTAGGTCGGGGCTCGGCGCGGGGAGGGTAAGCGAAAGCTAGGGACGCAACCCCGGGCGGTTGAGGGCTCACAATTCCCGGCTGCGGCTCCCCGGGAGACGGACCGCAGGGCGGGCACCTGGCTGGGTGGGGCCGAGGGGCGGTACGCATCCTGGGGGAAGCCAATGAGAAAACCAGGCCCGGCCCGAGGGGCGGTGCCGTTGGTCACATGCACACCTGGGGCGGGTGGCGGTGGCGGCTCGGGCAACACCAGCGGGAGGAAGGGAGCCGAGCCGGCCCGGGGCGGAGTTAGGCAGGTGAGTGACAGGCTCCGGGGGGCCGGCCCCAGCTGGGAGCCCCGAGCGATCCCGGAGTAGCTGCGGCGGTGTCCGCCCCCTCCCTCCACCCCTCCAGCGAGGCTGGTCTCTGGCCGGGCACTGTCGCGGGCCCCCCTGGCCCGGCCGCCTTCCTCTTCCCTTGGCCCTCAAAGTTTGTGGCCAAGCCGGCGTCGTCCGGGAGAGCGTGCCGCGGGGGAGATCCGGGAGCTCGCGATGTCGGGCTGCAGGAGCCGTTGACCCGGGGACGCGGCGGTCCGGGGCAGCAGCGTGGAGCAGCCGGCAGCCCGCCGACTCCAGTGCATGGGACAGGCTGAGGAGCCAGCATGGGCAACTGCGTGGGGAGACAGCGCCGAGAGAGGCCGGCTGTTCCGGGACACCCCCGCAAGCGAGCAGGTAACGCCAGGGAAGGCAGCAGGGCCCCGGCGCCCCGCCAGTTTGGCCCGTGCTGTGCCTAACCCTGGGGTTCCCGAGCGACCTCGCTCGGCTCCCGGCGCCTGGGCTCGCCCGATGGCTGGTCCGAGCCAGACGGGGCCCTGCCCAGAGCGCGGTGTCTAGGAGAGCGAGTTGGGGCAACTGCGAGCGCTGACCCGGCTGCGAGACCAACTCGCTCCAACCGGGAAGCTCGTGGTGGGGGCGGGGGCAGGAAATGTTTCCAGACCGCCGTGGGGCCAGCGGAGGGGGCTGGCCGAGGGCGCCGCTGACTTGGCAGCCCGGGCTGGGGTCGGACGTCGGCCCGTCGGGGCGCGGCGTGGCCAACCTTGGTTCCCAGAACTCGGAGCTAGCGAGGCGAGCACAGTCGCTCCTTCCAGAGAGTCACTGTGTCGTTATCGGGCCGCAGATCGTGTCTGCCGGAATCCGACTTGCAAAAGCAGCGCGGGACTCTGGGAAAGAAATCCTTATTATTTTTTTCCTCACCCCGCAGGGCTTTTTGGAGCCTCCCCTGGCCGTCTGGAATTTTAGAGAAGGTCGGGTGCGGGGTTGAGCGTCCCCTTCGGGTTTGTCAGGATCTTTTTCAGCTCTTGGAATGAGATCTGCTCTCTGGGCTTGTTGGGGTCTCTCTGAGCCTTGAGAATGGCATCTGCTCTATGGCAATTCGAGAGGCCCCAGCAGTGCCGTCTTACTTTCTGGGTGCATCCCTCCTATCCTGGCGCTGCGCCCCAGGAAGAGGTCTGACGGTCGTTTCTCTGGATCTTATATTCCCTTCTCTGAGGGTGTTGCAAGGAACTTAATGTGAATAATAAGCTGTAGAGCACAAAGGGACCTTCGAAACTTGTCTGAATTTCCAGATCTGCCTCCTCCTCTCTATGTAAAAACCCAGATCCAGAGAGGTTGAGCAACATGTCCAAAGTCACACAGCTAGTTAGTAGTGTAGCTGGGATTAGAATCCAGTCTCTTCTTTCTCCCTGTTGCCAAACACCCCTTTATGTAAGAGGAGCCACAGGCACAGTTGTTAATGAAGTGGAAACTCTAGTTGGAGTTTCTTGTCTGCTTTGACACTGAAGGTGTGTTGTTTTTTCTCTTGGAAACTGGAAAGGAGGATGGGGAAACCATAGGGGAAGCAAAGAAGGTTGTCTGTGTGGTGGATAGGATGACTTGTGCAGGCAGAAATGTGTTCTCATAGGAAGAATTGGGTGAAATTTAACATTAAAATAGGCTGGCCATTCCTCCAAGGAAAGTTGATTGTCCCACCTCAAGTTTTCATTCTTTCATTCATTCATCCATTCAATCAACACATATTTCTTATTTATATGCTCCATCCTTGATTTTGTAGTTTTTATGGTTGACAACTCTCTCCTGCCTGAAACTCCCCCTAACTTCCTTTTTTGGCTTGTTCTTATCCTGATTTCTTTCCATACTTTTTCATTTTTTTCTTTCAGTGCTGAGAATCAGAAGGTTAGGGAAATGTTCTGTCACGAAGCTGATTTTTCTTTCTGATTATTCCTGCCCACCCTCACCTGCTAGGTATAAGGTTATGCATAGCTCAGTTTGACATTCTGGGTTTTCTCCTTACACTCTCTAAGCTTACTTAGTCCCACAACTCTTTGTCCATTGGTGAGAGTCCTGTTTCTGGGGCCATCTCAAACCCCAGACCCACATCTCTAAGCTGCCCACTGGATGTGGTGTTGATACTCTCAGATTCAGCTACTCTAAAATCAAGTTCTGTATCTCCCCTCTTTACTCTTTTGTCCTTTACTCTGATGCTTTGTGTTTTCCTCCTGTGAGCCTCTGTGAGTCACAGAGACTTGCTGATTCTTCCTTCAGCTGGCTTGCAGACATGCCCCTTCCCACCTGACTTCACTCCTCTCATCCCTAGTCCTAGTCCACCCATTCCCCTGAGGCTGAAGTGAGTTCCCCGCAGAGGGCAAGCTCTCCTTGAGTCATTCATCTAATATCCGAACACCGTGTCTCTCCAGAAGACAGTTGTTAAATTTATGTGTTCTAGACTCTGTAGTTTGTGTTTAAAAGTCTTTCGGTACCTTCTCATTCCTGCAAGACCTTAACTTTCAAGACTGCTCCTGTGGCCCAGTCCTTTTAAGACCTGATTGCTTCCTCTTTCTTGACATTAAGGCCAACAATGTTTGTTTATGCCATTTCCCCTTCTTTGTTTTCTTTAAAGATTTGTTTTTATTTTTTATATATGTGTTTTGCCTGCATGTTTGTGCACCAAGGCATTGGATCCCCTGGAACTGAAGTTACAGACAGCTATGTGCTGCCATATGGAAGCTGGGAACCAAACCTGGGTCCTCTGCAAGAGTAGCAAGTGCTCTTAATGCCTGAGTCATCCTTATTTCCCCTTCTTAATGAGGGCCTTCCCTTCAGAGTACACCTCAAATCCTGGATTCATTCATCCATCCTAACTTTCCTTTTTTCTAAGGTTTTTTTTTTTTTGGATTCACTATGGAGACCAGGCTACCTCTGCCTTCCAAGTACTTGAATTAAAGGCATGCATGACCATGCCCAGCTTCCTAACTTTCTTTTGAGACAGTCTTACTATATAGTGCAGATGGGCTAGACTACTGACTACTGTAGTAAGCTACTACAGTAGCTTTGACTAGCTTTGAACACTCCATTCTCCAGAGTCCTGGGATTACAGGAATGCACACCACACCCTACCCTCTTTAGTTTTGGTTTCATTTTGGTTTGGGTTTTTTGTTTTTTGAGACACATCTCCTTAGTAGCCCCAGCTGGCTTGGAACTTACTATATAGACCAGGCTGGTCTTGATCTGACAAAGATCCCAGAGCCTGAGTGCTTCAATTAAAGGCGTGTACCACCATGCCTGGCTACCTGCCCTTTTTAAAAGAAAAAAAATTTAAATTAGCATATAAAATAATAGGTCCCATTTTGACATTTTCATACATCAACGTCACTGCACTTTGCCTCCTATTCGTATCTTCCTTGAAGCGCCTTGCCTGGCAGCTTTGCCATCAGTATCAGATGATAGTGCTTCTGAGAACTTCTGCAGACATATTACCTATGCCACTTACTTAACAATTATCTGCTCAGTATTATTATCATGTCTTTGAAATTCAGTCCTCTATCAACAAATCATACTATAAGCCTGGAGACCTGAATTCTGTCACTTCCTTGTGTATTGGTCTGTCTCTGTCTTGCACCCACTTATACAACCATGTCCACACATAGTCAGCACTTAGCATCACGACTCCTACAGGGGAAGCACTACATATTTGTTGATTTTAGAAAGCTAACCAGACTTCATCCTACTTGAACTTTTTTCTTTTTTCTTTTTTTTTTTTGTGTGTATGCGTGTATTGCCTGCATTGTAGGTAAGTGCACCTGTGTTGTGCACTGCCCACAGAGGACAGAAGAGCCTGTTGGATCCCCTGGAACTGGAGCCATGGATAGCTGTTAGCTGCCATGTGGGTGCTGGGATTCGAACCTAGGTCTTCTGCAAGAACAACCAGTGTTCTTAACCGCTGAGCTATCTCTCCAGCCCCCGTACTTGAACTTTTTATGCGAATATTTTGCTAAAATATAGCTCTGAGTTTTTTAAAAATAATTTTTATTTTTTTGTGTGTGTATGAGTGTATTACCTACATGTAAGTGCACTCGTGTCATACAGTGCCCAGTGCCTGCATAGGTCAGAAGACGGTGTCAGATCCCCTGGAACTGGAGTTATGTATGGTTGTTAGCCACCATGTGCTGGAACTTGAACCCGGGTCCTCTGCAAGAGCAGCCAGTGCTCTTAACTGCTGAGCCATCACTCCAGCCTTTTTTTTTTTTTTTTTTTTTCAACCTGCTAGAGAATCATTTTAATTCTATGGGCCCTACTATGAATAGTTTTATTCATAAAATCCAAAGCCACGGGGAACTCTGGAAGATGACAGATTTGGTACAGGGAAGGAATCTTAACTTCACGGCATGACCTGGCATTCCTGTAACATCTGCTGCTTACCCTTTAACAAGGACATAGTTTCATGTTGTAAATCTAATGCCTACGGCTGGGGGGTAGTTCAGTGGTAGAGCCCGGGCCTAAAATGGGAGGATCCCTTCATCGACTGCCCTAACATTTAAAAAAATTAGGAGGGAGGAAGAAAGACAGTCAAAGCACCTGAGACCCACCCCACCCCCCAGCATCTATGTCTAACTGTACTCTTGCCCTTCCTTTGTTCTGGTATAATGGGAGAAAAATCCTGATGAGAGACAAAGAGCCTGAGTGCCAACAAAATGGCTTAGCAGGTTAAAGGCATTTGCTGCGAAGCCTGACAACCTGAGTTCAGTCCCTGAGACCCAGGAGGGTAGAAGGAAAAAACTTGCCTCCAGAAAGTTATCCTCAGACCTCCACCTCATGCCCTGGCATATTGTACAGGTGGTACATGGCATGTGAGTGTACACATATACACACACACACACACATGCACATACAAATAAATAGTGTAAAAAAGTTTTTTTAAGGAAAGAGAGGGGCTGGAAAGATGGCTCAGTGGTTAAGAGCACTAGCTGCAATTGCAGAGGACCTAGGTTAGTTCCCAGCACCCACATGGCCACTAACAACCATCCGTAGTTCAAGTTCCAGGGGCTCCAATGCCCTCTCCTGATCTCCTTCAGGTGCATGTACACACATACAGGCAATGCACTTATACACATGAGAGAGAGAGAGAGAGAGAGAGAGAGAGAGAGACACTCTAGTCCTAGAATTCTGGCCCTGGGCAAGTCAGCAAGCCTGTCTGAGCCACATTTCTAATATGTCAGAAGGGGCCAGAGTTAGGCAAGGTCGCTAGAGCTGTTGTATCATCTTCTTAAGGGTGACTGTTCAAAACTGGAGTTACTGAAGTGAAATGAACCCTACAGTGCTACCCTTTGTCCTGAATTCTGTCTTCTCAGTCATTTGACAAGTGAAGCAGGGACTTAGTGCCTTGGTCAAGGAGTCTT